CGGTCAGGTACTGTGCTGCTCTCCGCTTCCTGCTTCACCCTCAGCCAAACACACCCGCAAACCTCCCCAGCCTTTGTCCTGGAGTTTAGTACCAGCCCGAGACATCTTCCCCCCGGTGCCGTACAAACCGAAGGAGCCGGATGGTTCCTCGCGGCTGAGAGCATCCCTGCGCAGCGCCCGTCCTCCCTAAGGGGAACGCTTGGGACCCTCAGCGCTGTGCTGCGAGAGCTGCTCTGCTAGTCAAGAGCTGCCATATAATGGCGAAGCTTAGCATCTCTTCAGGGATTGTTGCAAAAAAGAAAAAAAACCATCAGTGGTTTATAAAACTTAATTCACAAGCGTTTGCTCCCTATCCTCATTCCTTCCTTCCAAAGATGATTTTACCTTGAAAAGGGAAAACGAAGGTAATAATTGCTGCACTCACGGAAAAGAAAACAAAGGCAATAATTGCTGCAACGAGTGCTGGAGCGTGGCTGCCCCGTGCGGGGAGCCCATGCGACTCCCGTGCCCATGCACGGGGCCAGCTTGCGCCACGGAGCAAAACACACCATTTGGTTCACAGCAGCATAAGCTGCTTAAAAATCGCTGGTATAAAATAGGATCTAATTTGGCTGCCAGAAAGCAGAGCAAGGTGTTTCCCTAGGCCTTGCGCTCCGTGTTTCCTTGCCAGTCTGCGTATTTGCCACACAGGTATTAGTCAGACGCATGAGCGGTATTATCGATGTGCTGCATTGGCCTCAGGGACTGGGGGAGTTGAAATGTTTATGCAAGTACAGCAGCTTATTTCATAAGTCATGTATCTGCACAGCTGACATCCAAAGAGAGGTTTAAGCCTCTAAGTCAAGTGTTAATAGCTAAACCCATCAGTGCTTTAGAAAATTAAAAATTGCTGTGAAGTGAATAATGATGCAAGGGTAGGCCTGGAGCTGGGCACCAAACTGATGGCAAATTTATCAATAGCATCAATTTGCAGGAGCAGCCTAGCCCTTTCAGAGAAGGCAGCTTTGTTTTTCCCTGGATGAGACAACAAGAGCAAAGCAAGGGGTCCGGTTTGCTAGCTTCTTTTCTCCCCCTCCATCCTCCAGTACCAGCAAGTAAATGCCTGTAAATGCCTGGCTGACCCTGCAACCAGCTCCTTGCAATAACCCTGCTTGCAGGCTAGCGGGCTGACCCACAGCCACAGCACCTTCCCCGCCGACGGGGACTTTTGGGTGGCAGGAGGCTACGGTAACAACCATCACACTCCCTTCTCTGATCAGCACGGCAGCTGTAGCCGGTCCCCCATGCCCCAGTGATTTGAGGTTATTCTCATCACCAGAGGAGTGCACAGCAGCTACACTTGAGAAGCCTCTGAAAGTCTGTTTTTTTTTAAAAAAAAAAAAATTCTCCTTCAAAAAAAAAAAAAAAAAAAGACTGCAATGAGTTAAATCAGCACGGGATTACGTTTTAGAAACACCAACCCACTGAAGTCAGCACCCTTCTTCCCTCCAGCACAATTTGCTAAGAGGGCAGGAATCAACGCAAGTCTCAGGTTCACCAAAGGACTCGGGCTCCTGACTTCCCCGTGACTTCAGTGGGAAAGCAGACGCCTAAAGAGATAATAATGGCCTAAATGGGTTTGCTGAACCTGTGCCAAAGCATCTTTGCATCCAGCCTTCAGTATTTAAATATGCCTTTTTTTTTTTTTTTTCTCTTACCAGACACATATTGCATTGCTTTGAAAAGCAAGTGGTTCTTGCATGTTACAAAACGCTTTTCTTGATGGCAGTGCACAGAGCCACCCTGAGATACCGCGGAGGCACGAGGACCTCGCCTGCCTGCAGGACCGACTCGGGCTGGGGGCACTGGCTGGTGCGTGCCTCGGAGTGCACTGGCTTAAAAGAAAAAAAGAAACAAAAAAACCCCAAGAAACCCCCCAAACGCCAGAATTGCCAAAGTCTGCTGCCCCAGGAAATTCATTTATAAGAAATTAAACTGGATTTAATTTACCTCGTTACACTATTAAAGAGTAATATTTATATCACCATGGAAACCTCTGCATAAAACTGGTAGTTGGGCTCATGCTCCCAGTGCCGGTTACGCAATGGCTGTGTCATGTGAATGATCGCGTCTTACAGCGGCTCCGGAGAGTGCCAATCCTCTGATGTCCGGTGGGACATTATTTCCCTCCTCAGCCTGACAAGAGCAGCCTTCCTCATCCCACCCCAGCTCAGCGCCACCGAGCTTCCCTCCAAGGAGGAAGAAGCTAGCCAGGGGGATTTGGCTTGCGTTTTCAGGGTTATTTTTCCTACATTTGACTCGGGATCCGTGCCCCTCCCCACCACTCTGGAACTGTTTAACTTGGAAGGACAAAGGAGAATGGGCAAGGTCTGCTGAATGTATCTTGAGGGGGAATGTTTTGGGGGAAGTTTTGGGAAAACAGCTGGGGAGGTGGTGTTATCAGGGGGCAGGAAT